CCTAGTAGGGTAATTTCATATTTGAAGGCTCAACGTATGGTTGAGAATGGTTGCCTATCTTATTTGGCGTTTATGCGGGATGTTAATGTAGAGACTCCTGCCATTGATTCTGTTCCGGTGGTACGTGATTTTTTAGATGTGTTTCCTGCAGACCTGTCGGGCATGCCACCTGACAGGGATATTTACTTCGGTATTGATTTGGTGCCGGGAATTCAGCCTATTTCTATTCCACCGTATCGTATGGCACCGGCAGAGTTGAAGGAACAACTTCAGGAACTCCTTGATAAGGGGTTTATTCGGCGTAGTGCGTCACCCTGGGGTGCACCGGTTCTATTTGTAAAAAAGAAGGATGGTTCCATGAGGATATGCATTGATTACAGGCTTTTGAACAAGGTCACAGTCAAGAACAAGTATCCCTTGCCTCGTATTGATTATTTATTTGACCAGCTTCAAGGAGCGAGGGTGTTCTCCAAGATTGATTTGAGGTCCAGGTATCACCAGCTGAAGATTGGGGATTCAGATATTCTTAAGACAACTTTCAGGACCCGATATGGCCATTATAAGTTCTTAGTGATGTCTTTTGTGCTGACCAATGCCCCAGCAGCGTTCATGCATTTGATGAACAGTGTATTCCAGCCCTATTTGGACTCATTCGTTATTGTGTTCATTGATGATATCCTAGTGTACTCTCGTAGCCAGGAGGAGCATGCTCAGCATCTGAGGATTGTATTACAGAGATTGGGGGAGGAGAAGCTTTATGTAAAGTTCTCCAACTGAGTTTTGGCTCGGTTCAGTAGCATTCTTGGGGCACGTGTTGTCCAGTGAGGGTATTCAGGTGGATCCGAAGAAGATAGAGGCAGTGCAGAGTTGGCCTAGACCGTCCTCAGCCACGGAGATTAAGATCTTCCTTGGTTTGGCGGGCTATTACCGTCGCTTTTGGAGGGATTTTAATCTATTGCATCACCCTTGACCAAATTGACCCAAAAGGGTGCTCCATTCAGGTGGTCGGATGAATGTGAGAAGAGCTTTCAGAAGCTCAAGACCGCTTTAACCACAACTCCAGTGTTAGTTCTGCCATCAGCTTCAGGTTCTTACACCGTGTATTGTGATGCCTCAAGGGAAGGTATTGAATGTGTTCTGATGCAGGAGGGTAGGGTGATTGCCTATACCTCGCGCCAGTTGAAGACCCATGAGAAGAACTATCCTGTCCACGATCTTGAGTTAACAGCCATTATTCACGCTTTGAAGATTTGGTGTTATTATATGTATGAGGTTAATTGTGAGATCTATACTGATCACCGGAGTTTGCAACATCTGTTTAAGCAGAAGGATTTTAATTTGAGCTAGCGGATATGGTCAGAGCTTCTCAAGGACTATGATATCACTATTTTGTACCATCCGGGGAACGCCAATGTGGTGGTCGATGCCTTGAGTCGTTGGGCGGAGAGTTTGGGGAGTTTAGCGTATCTCCTAGCAACAGAGAGACCCTTGGCATTGGATGTTTCAGATTGGATATTTTGGAGCCGAGTTGAGTATTGGCTTGTGTGGTCTCCGGGTCTTCTCTTTATGATCGTGTCAGGAAGCGTCAGTATGATGACCCCCACCTGCTCGTTCTTCAGGACATGGTTCAGCGAGGTGATGCCAGAGATGTGACTATTGGTGATGATGGAGTGTTAAGGATGCAGAGCCGGATATGTGTGCCCAAAGTGGATGGGCTTCGGGATTTGATTCTTGAGGAGGCCCACAGCTCGCGGTACTCCATCCATCCGGGTGCCGCGAAGATATACCAGGATTTGAGACAACACTATTGGTGGAGGCAGATGAAAAAGGATATAGTTGGGTTTGTGGCTCGGTGTCTCAACTGTCAGCAGGTTATGTATGAACATCAGAGACCGGTGGCTTGCTTCAGAGGTTAGAGATCCCAGGGTGGAAGTGGGAGCGGATCACCATGGACTTCATAGTTGGGCTCCCACGGACTTCGAGGAAGTTCGATGCTATTTGGGTTATTGTGGATCGGTTGACCAAGTCTGCGCATTTCATTCCAGTCCGCACTACTTACTCTTTAGAGCGGTTGGCTGAGATTTACATCCGAGAGATTGTTCGCCTGCATGGTGTCCCAGTTTCCATCATTTCAGATAGGGGCACTCAGTTTACATCGCAGTTTTGGAGGGCCATGCAGCGAGAGTTAGGTACTCAGGTTGAGTTTAGCACAACTTTTCACCCTCAGACGGACGGGCAGTCCGAGCGCACTATTCAGATATTGGAGGACATGTTACGCGCTTGTGTCATTGACTTTAGGGGTTCATGGGATCAGTTTATGCCGCTCGCGGAGTTAGCATATAATAACAGTTATCAGTCGAGCATTCAGATGGGTCCGTACGAGGCTTTATATGGGAGGATGTGTAGATCTCTAGTAGGATGGTCTGAGCCAGGTAAGGCTAGGCTCTTGGGTATAGACTTGGTCCAGGATGCATTAGATAAGGTGAAATTGATTCAGGAGAGGTTTCGCACGGTGCAGTCTAGGCAGAAGAGCTATGCGGACAGGAAGGTCCGTGATGTGTCTTTTATGGTTGGGGAAAAGGTTTCGCTGAAGGTATCACCCATGAAGGGTATTATGAGGTTTGGGAAGAGGGACAAGTTGATCCTCCGGTTTATTGGACCTTTTGAGGTACTTCAAAGGATAGGGGAGGTGGCTTATAAGCTTGTCTTGCCACCCAGCTTGTCGAGTGTGCATCCAGTGTTTCATGTTTCCATGCTCCGGGAGTATGTTGGCGATCCGTCCCATATTTTGGACTTCAGCACGGTTCAGTTGGAGGGTGATATGACTTATGACTTAAAATGTTTATGTTTAAAATGTTCACTTAAACTTCAAGATTTGTTTTCTTATTTATTCACCGTTATTCACCGATCAAGCATTCGAGCGATGTAATAAACAATTGAGAATAAATCAAGCATTCGGTCGGTATTCTTATTTCTAATTTTTTGTTTGATTTTTTTGACCATTTTGCTTTTTTCCGACCAATGTCGATCGGAATGCCACGGACGAAATTTGGCAGTTTTATAGTAGTGTAAGTATTTGTGTGCTCTACTGCATTCGTGTTCTCTTAATTATTTCTTAGTTTTCGTAGTAATTTTTGTTATAATAAAAATCACAATCATCTTCCTCAAACCGCTCGAACAATCAACTCGTAAATAGTTTAGTTTAGACATAATTAATCATAAATTCTCGTGGGAACGATACTTTTTTATCACTTTATTACTTGTCGACAGCGTGTACTTGCGTGTGCGTTTGGAGCCAACCAAAAACTCATGCCAACATGCAAATTTAGGATTTGAACTTTGTGAGTTCATAGTGCTAATTAAATACACTTATCAATGAATTACTCGGTTCTAAATTTAATATTTATACATATTTAATAAATTTTTAATACATATATAATATTTTAAGCTAATGTTACTGAATTCAACTGAACCCTAGCTAATACTATACATCCGCTCCTGCTCACAAACGATCATTCTTTTGTTAAAGATAAGAAACTACTAAGAAGGTGTTTATAATATGGTATTAACTGGCCTTTGAAGTCTTCTCTGATGCCAAAAATAATTGAACCATAGAATGATTTGTTTCTCTTTCTTATCAGCTTTTCATAATTTGTTTTGACTTACCAATAAAATTTAAATATACGATTTGTTAAATTTGCTATTTAAAATTATATTTTTAATATTGGACTGGGCGATAAATCGACTTCACAACAAGCTCCATGTTCGACCAGTTGTTAGAATGGTGTGATAGTAACAAGTATTATATCACAAAAACTCTCAACTCTTTCCATTTTTTCCTACCATAAGGCTAAGTAAAAATATCAAAATCTAATACAAGAAAAGGAGTAATCAATGAAACTCTATCTTGAACATTTTAAATTGAGCAAACCACCCACGACTGTTAGGTCTTGGGTTCGAATCACGCTGGAAGGGAAGTGTGAAAACACTATAGATCCTTCTAATTTGGGAAGGATAAAAAAAATAAAAAATAGCCCGTTTGGCCAAGTTTCTAAAATTAACTTATTTTAAAAAGTTCTTTTTTTTCAAAAGTGCTTTTCAATAAAGCATTTTTGGTGAGACACAATTTGTGTTCGGCTAATTAATTTGAAAAACACATTTGATCATGTAATTAGTAGTTGACCAAGCTTATAAAAAGTACTTTAAGGTGTATTTTTTCAAAAGTGCTTTTGGAAAAAAAATTATTTTTTTCTGTTTTTTTTCTTCTTAACAAAAATACTTTTTTCCTTCTAAAAGATTGGCCGAACATCTTAACTTTAGAAAAAAATATTTTTGACCCAAAAAAAATACTTTTGGCCTTAAAAAACATGGCCAAGCAAACTATAATTCCTGTAATAAACTCGAGTATCGAAAGATTTCTGAGAAAAAATAAAAACTACGAAGAAACAAACAAAACAACCAATTGTGTGATCTCAGTGCTCAAGAGAGGTTTCATGAGGCAACATGTATGGTACATGGGAACAAAAACTATGGCAAAAGAGTGGAAATTTAAAAATATAGCTATCTCTTTAACTACTTGTTTAAAAGATACTGTGGAAATATACAAAGTGATCCAGAAATGGACTTTAATAAATAAGATGATAACTGGTAGATCCAGCTGTTAAGATCTTAATGTTGTTTAGTCTTTGATTATCAGTCAGACCAATTAAATTGGTCCTTTATATAGCTCCTATACCAATAACTACTTCCCTATGAATGTTACTATAAATACATTGGCTACTGAATCCCATAAAGGCATCACCTCTCCACTGAAAAAACTAAAGTTTATCTCCTTTCTTCTTTCCTTTCAAAGTTTTTGGAGATTTGACTAGCCATATTTGGAAGGTTAGTGCAGGAATTTTCCGGCAAAGTGAGGCTTCACGGTGGCGGCTCCGCCAATGGTCGTTAATATTTGCCACAAATCTTAGTGGCATTGGCCATATTGGTTGTTGCTAATGTAGCATTAGCAGATCCTTATTTATATATTCGTCTCCACCACCTCCAGCAGCATACGAGTACAAGTCACCGCCACCTCCTTCTCCTTCTCCTCCTCCACCACCTTATGTGTACAAATCTCCTCCTCCTCCATCGCCTTCTTCCCCGCCACCATATGTTTATAAATTACCTCCACCTCCTTCACCATCACCACCTCTACCATATGTGTATACGTCGCCTCCACCTCCATCGCCTTTACCCCCGCCACCTTATGTGTATAAATCACCACCTCTTCCTTCGCCATCTTCCCCACCACCGTATGTGTACAAGTCTCCTCCACATCCATCACCATCTCCACCGCCACCTTATTACAAATCATCTCCTCCGCCATCACCATCACCGTCTCCACCATATTATTACATGTCACCACCACCTCTGTCATCATCGCCACCTCCACTATATTACTATAAGTCTCTTCCTCCACCACCACCTCCATATTACTATAAGTCGCTGTAACGATCCGACCGGTCATTTTGAGCTCTAGCGTATTGTTCGGCGGTTTAAGGCCTTGAGTAACTTCATTTTAGGTATTATGACTTGTATGTGTGGTCTGAATTGAATTTCGGGAAGTTCAGAGTTCATTTGGAAAGAAAATTCTAATTTCGGAAGCTTTAAGTTAGAAGAATTGACTAAGGTTTGACTTTTGAGTAAATGACCTCGGGATCAGGATTTGAAAATTCTAATAGGTTTGTATGATAATTTCGGACTTGGGCTTATGTTCGGGTTGATTATTCGATCACCCGGGAGCATTTCGGTGTCAATTGGCGAAAGATGAAAATTTGGACGATTGTTGGAAAGTTTGACCGGGAGTGGACGATTTGATGTCAGAGTCGGATTTTGATTTCGAAAGTTAGAGTAGGTCCGTAATGTCAATTATGACTTGTGTACAAAATTTGAGGTCAATCGGACTTGATTTGATAGGTTTAGCGTCGAATGTAGAAGATTGAACTTTCAAAGTTCATTGAGCTTGAATTGGGGTACGATTCATGGTTTTAGCGTTGTTTGATGTGATTTGGAGGCTTGACTAAGTTCGTATTATATTTTAAGATTGTTAGGTATGTTTGGTCGAGGTCCCGGGGGCCTCGGGTTGATTTCGGATGGTTAACGAATCAAAAGTTGAAGTTGTGAGATTTGCTGAAGACTAGGCTCTACTGGTGTAACCGCACCTGCGGAGCTTTGATTGCAGGTGCGAGAGGAATTCCGCAGGGACTGTGGAGCACAGATGCGGCAGGATTTCCGCAGGTACGGACTCGCACCGGCGCTTGGAGGGTCGCAGAAGCGAAAGCAGGGGTGATGAGGCTGGTTCGTAGAAGCGGGCTAGTTCATGCAGATGCGCGCCCACAGAAGCGGGGACCTGAACGCAAAAGCGATTGGGCGGCTTAGTGGCCTCAGCAGATACAAAGGGAGGACCGCGAATGCGGTGCTGCAGAAGTGGATAATGTTGCTGCAGAAGCAAAAATGGGCAGATTATTAAGGGATCGAACTTGGTCTTTTTCCTCATTTTATTTTGGATTTTAGGAGCTCGGTTCATGGGCGATTTTGAGGTGTTTTCATCATGTAACATAAGGTAAGTAATTTTTCACTTATTGTGAGCTAATGTAAGGTTTATTTGTGGATTTAAAGAAGAAAGATTTAGGAAAATTGTAGGATTTTGGCAGAAAACCTAGAATTGATAATTTTGAATTTTGACCACGAAATTGGACATGGAATTAGGAATAAATTATATATTTGAGTTCGTAAGGTTATGGGTAATGTTTATCTTCAAACATTTTCGGAATCCGGGCACTTGGGCCTGAGGGTTGATTTTATAGACTTTTCGAGCGGATTTGGGAATTAATATAAATTGATCAATTATGAGTATTAGAGTATATTTTGATCGGTTTGAGCATTTATTTGAATAGTTTTGGATCGACGGGCATCAGCTTGAGGTGTTAGAGAGGCTTTTGAGTCGGTTATGGAACTTCAGAGCGAGGTAAGTCTCTTGTCTAATCTTGTAAGGGGGAAACCACCCCCTAGGTGATATTTATTGTTATGTGCAATTAGTTGTGAGTGCTACGTACGCACGAGGTGACGAGAGTCCGTACGTAGCTAAAGCATGTTTATGTCCGGGTAGACTTAGGATCTTATCATGTAATATTTAAATTATTTGAACTCATTTTGCCGGCTTGATTAATTGAAGTTATAAATGAAATTGATTTAGAAATAAATATAGGTATACTAGGCGAAGCCTTAATACTTTGAATTGTGGGCGAGTTATTCGAGAAACGCTAAAGATTATATCCATTTTGTACTCATGTACGGTGTTGTAAATACGTGTCTCGTAATTCGGTAACTTTCTTTCTCTTCTTATGGAGCGGGCCCAATGCCTCGGCAGTATATAGATGCATCTATGGTTCGTGCCGCTCGATCCTCGACAGTGTACATATTATTCTGGATCGGGTCAAACGACCTTGGCAGAATCGTGCGTTATATCACTAGTAGACCGAATATTCACGAGCTAATCTTCCCACTGATGCCCGACGTCTTATATGGTATTCCTTATTTATTTGAGATTGACACTCGATGTTCTCTGAGCCGTTAAGGTAGAGTACAAGATCCAGAAATTCATGCCCTAAAAGAAGTAATTGGTAGATTATATAATTTGCAGATTTCCCCCATCATTGTCGTATGCTTCATACATGCTTATGTTTTATTATATTGCTTTATTGGATCTTTAGTAAGTGTCGATGTCGACCCTACGTCACTACTTCTTCGGGGTTAGGCTAGATACTTACTGGGTATGCGTTGATTTATATACTCATGATGCACTTCTGCACTAAATATGTAGGATCTGACAGGTTCATTTGATGATCACCTTGGCGCGTAGGCGCACCTGTTGAGGAGACTGTATGTAAGCTGCATTTCAGGCTACACATCGTAGTCCACTAAGTCTCCATTGTATTATTTATTTTATCCTGTCTTATTACATTCGTTTGATGAACACCTTGGCGCGTAGGCGCACCTGTTGAGGAGACTTTATGTGAGCTACATTCCAGGCTGCGTATCGCAGTTCAGCGAGTCTCCATTGTACTATTTATTTTATCCTGTCTTATTATATTCGGGACAGATATTGTATTATTATTATTATATTCCTTAGAAAATGCTCATACACTGGTGACACCGGGTTTTGGGGGTTCCTATGGGTTGTTCGTTATGGTAGTAGTGTAAATTCTATTTCATACGATTTTATTAAGGAAAAATTATGATTTTAAAAATACAAAAAAAATCGGTAATTAAGTTGATCAATTCTTGTTGGCTTGCGTGACGGAAATGTTAGGTGCCATCACGACCTTTAGTGAATTTTGGGTCGTGACAGTCGCCACCTCCACCTTCACCATCACCTCCACCACCATATTATTACAAATCTCCGCTACCACCCTCACCATCACCTCCACCACTATATTATTACAAATCTCCGCCACCACCCTCACCTTTACCACCTCCACCTTATTATTATAAGTCTCCACTGCCACCTTCTCCTTCACCTCCTCCACCATACAACTATAAATCTCCACCACCTTCTTCACCTTCACCTTCACCTCTGTCACCTTATTATTACACGTCTCCGCCTTCTTCATCACCACCACCACTATACTGTTATAAGTCACCACCACCACCTACTAAGTCACCTCCTCCCTCGTACCATTACAGTTCTCCAGCACTACCAATGAAGTCTCCTCCTCTGCCATATTACTATTCCTCACCGCCACCACCAAAACAATCACCTCCCCCACCATGTCACTACACTTCCCCGCCACCACCAGTTAAATCACTTCCTCCTCCATACTACTACAACTCTCTACCACTACCCAAGAAATCAGCTCCTCTACCGTATTACTACTGTTCTCCACCTCCACCAGTTAAGTCACCTCCAACTCTATACTATTAAACCTCTCCATCACCACCAAAAAAGTCTTCTTCCCCCGCCATACTACTACAGTTCACCATCACCACCACCTTCTCATTACTATCCTCCACATTATCAGTTCGTGATTAAGGTTGTCGGAAAGGTCTATTGTTTTAAATGCAATGATTCAAAACACCCAGAAAAGTCTCATGGCTAGAAACATCTGAAAGGTAAAATAGTCTTTATACCTTTGCCCATTTCTTAATTTTCAGAATTCATAAATGTATCGTTTTTATTAGGATCTTAGATCCATCATCTGTTTCTGTTTTTGAAATGTGCAGTTAAAACATTTGTGCGCTGTCACCTTCACTAAATTTCCTTTTCGAAAATTAAGATTGTAAAACATCAAGAAAATTTTATATGGAAGAGATTATAAATATTATTGTGATATGGAGTAAATATTGAAAATGGAGGTACTTAGTTCTTGCTTCGATATGACCAGAGGCGGATTCAGGATTTTGGTAGGATGGGCACATTATTAAGAAGAGATGGATCCAGAATATAAACTTTACGGGTTCAACCTTTAGTTCTTACGATTGCATACCCATTGCACTCTTGGAATTATAAGTTTAAATTTTTATTTTTTTAAATAGTAATTTTCTTACATCTATATCTATTTTTCATATTGAATATATTGAGATCAGTTGAACTCATTGACTATATGCAAATCATACACTGCTACTAGTTTAATCATATAAGATTTTACAACAACAAAAGAAGAATATGAATTTCAATGTGTGAAAATTTTGAAAGAATTAACCAAACAAAAAAAGAAATAAAAAGAAAAAGTACTTAATTAATACGCAAAAAATAACACCAGACACGCCCATCTCCCACGGGCGTCTACTTCTAGAAAAAAAAGGAAAAAACAACAAGATTGAAATAAGATTTGAACTCACAACCTCACCTAGAGAGGTACACTCAATAACCATTATATCATATAATATTTTGAGTATGAGTGCACATACATATATTTAAATATATTTTAAAAAAATATAATATTACTATACATAATTTATGACGGGGAGCATGGGTTCACATGCCCTATGAAACACCCTAGATACGCCCCTGAGAGTGTATCTCACATGGAGCCGACGAACTGTGTTTTCTTTAGTAATTAGAATAAGAATTTTAAAGTAAAGTTAGAAGAAGGAATAAAGAAGTTTTTATCATGTGATGGAAATGTTAGTTTTATATTATGAATAGGACAAAGTCTTTGCAGGAGGTGGGGAAAATAAGGTTGGGAAATATCTCTATGATCTGTTAGAAGCTCAATTATTTTAGTGTTAATTAATATATTATTTCTTTGTTTTTTCCACATGGATTAGGTGCTATTGTTGAGGTAACTTGTAAGGCTGGTGACAAGAAAATTGTGAGTTATGATACCACTAAGATCAATGGAAAATTCAGCATCACTGTTAAAGGATTTGAATATCGCAAATACGGAGCAAAGGCTTGCAAGGCTAAACTCCACAATGCTCCAAAGGACTCAAAGTGTGACATTCCTACAAACCTCCATTGGGGAATAAAGGGCGCTAACCTCAAAGTGAAGTCAAAGAATTATTATGAAGTTGTACTCTATGCAAAATCATTTGCTTATGGCTCTAAAACACCTTACGCGAAATGCACAAAACCCAAGCCTACACCTGCTCCATACTATTACAAATTTCCTCCACCTCCATTTCCGACATATATTTATAAGTCACCACCTCCTCCATCACCGTCATATATTTACAAGTCACTACCTCCCCCAACACCGGCATACATTTACAAATCTTCGCCACCACAAACTAATAAGTCTCCACAACTTTCATATTATTGCAAATCTCCACCTCTACCATCACCAAAACCTGCATCTGTATACTATTATAAAATACCACCATCCCCGTCACCATTGTCCCCTCCTCTTTACTATTACAAATCTCCTCAACCACCGTCATCTTCTCCTCCTCCATAGTACCACATGTCATGACTACCCCATCACCGTCACCTCCGCAACCATACTACTACAAGTCTCCTCCTCCACCGTCTTCTTCACCACCCCTACCCACCTATTACAAGTCCCCACCGCCACCGTCTTCATCTCCTCGACCTCCATACTACTATAAATCTCCTCCTCCATCATCGCCTTCTCCTCCTTTACCATACTATTATAAGACACCACCACCACTATCACCATCTCCTCTGCCACTTTATTATTACAAATCTCCACCACCACCATCGCCATCACCTCCACCTCCCTACTATTACAAGTCTTCACCATCACCTCCACCACCTTATTACTACAAATCTCCTCCACCATCCTTGTCACCATCCCTAACCTACTACTACAAGTCTCCACCTCCACCATTACTATCACCCCCACCTCCCTATTACTACCACTCTCCACCTCCACCAGTGAAGTCTCCTCCTCCTCCCTACCACTACAGCTCACCTCCCCCGCCCATAAAGTCACCTCCGCCAGTTTACATTTATGCCTCCTCACCACCTCCAATCCATTACTAAGTTTTCCAAAGTGCTCAGCCAAGCAAGTAATTCTTTGAAATTTGAATTCTTCTTTCCTTGAGAGATCTACTTTATGTTCTACTTATCAATGATCTAAGATTCAAATATTCAATTTCTTTGTCCCATTTTTCAGATTTCAGTTTAAAGAACATAACAAGTGATGGCTTTTTGAGGGGAAGATTCGAGCATCAATGGTACATCGCGCTTAATTTATCGAATGAGTTCTTCATTTATGCAACGGAGAGATTGATCCATGATGACAAATACCAGTTTGCTTCTACTTCAATTGTGGCTTTCTTGCACATTTTTCTCATTGTGTCTTCACGTGGGAGTGGCTTCAAGAACTTAGTTATTCATGGTGTTGTTTCTTCGTAATTTATTGTTGTATAGAGAATTGTCCTCTCTATTTATCCATTTCCTATTAGCTATTCTGAGTTGTTTCATTGTACCTTGTTGTGCTTTGTGCACCAAATCAATAGAAAGATGACTTTTTGGTTCTATTCACTGTCTTCTTTGTTGTTCTCTTTGCAATATATATCTGTATGTATTCACTTATAACATATCAATCTTTTCTATATGAACATATAAACAAACAAAATAGGATTATACTTCATTGTTACTCTTTTTGAGAAATTTTCAAGGCAAAAAAGATAAATGGACCAGATTATAATTCCTCTAAATAAAAGAACTACCCTTACAAAAATATCGAAAGACAAATAATTAATTAAAGGTATTCAATTATAGTTGGGAATTTAGAAGCTTTAACTCTTTGTTACTTTGTATCAAGCACAGCACCCCCGCCCCCCAACCTCCCGGTTGAAAGGGTGACTCGAACTCACAAGTTTTTGGTTGAAAGTGGAGGGGTGACTCGAACTCACAACCTCTTGGTTGAAAGTGGAGGGTGTTCACCACTAGAGCAATCCACACTTGTCAAAATGTCTATTACGATGAAGCAAAATGACTATTGTCGAGTTCACCCATTTTTTACTTAGAAAATATTATCGAAAATTATGAAGAATAGTATCTCTTTCAGGATCATTTTTGACTTTATTCACATTATTTGAGTTAAAATAATTTTTAATTTTTTAGATAATCTCTATTGTAAATATGTACTGTGGATACATTTTAGATATCTTGAAAATAACTTTTTAGATACCGCACATACTGCATACATTTTTTTGAACAGGTCATAATCTATTTATCTATATCTATATCTATCTATCTATATCTATATCTATATCTATCTATCTATATCTATATTATTATAAAAGTATGAATACAATGTCGGTTTATAAAAATAACTTTATAATATTAAGCCTAATAACTCATAATAAAAGGACATAACCGAAATTCTAGATATTAGCCTTATAATCCTATTAGTTTTAGGACATAATACTATAGTTAGGAATGCTACATGATTACATTTAGGAATTCTATTAGTATAATTACTATCGGGCTGTCTAAACAATTCAGTATTAAATAATATTGTTATAAACATGAAATATCCAGCTATGAAAAGCATCCGCAATAGATATAGTAGCTTTTTATGTTCTATGAAGACTAAAATATATATCTAAAGAAAAATTCAATATTAAATAATATTGCTATATGTAAGAGTTCACCCAATATCTGAGATTTTGAATACAATAAAGTTTAACCGGATTTATACTTCAAAAAACAAATTAATTCTTCAAAGAGTCAGATCCATATTGGACATATTATCTATCATATATTTAGGACTTTGTCTAACATGTAGGAGTTTGAACACAATTAGAATTTTGAAGTCAACTAAGTTTTGTCCACCTTTAATTTATGAAAATTAGCCAGGACACATACATTGAAATAACTCTTATAAGGAATAATATATAGAATGCATAGTTTGTAGTGGAAGAGAAATTTACTGCCGACGAAGTAAAATTATGAAGGGAATATAAATTGAAATTGATCAGCTTTTATACCATTAAGAATAATAAATAAATCGTCCCTCCAATATTGGTAATGTACTACTTGGAGACTGCAGAGTCCTAGAACATATATTAAAGGAATATTAAAAGGTGAAAAAGAACAAGCAACTGATCTTGAAGAGGAAGTCTACTGTTTGGAGGAGGTTGAACTAATTCTAGAGAACTTAACTTTTGAGAAGATACAAATAAAGTAGGATTAGAATTGATTTGTGAATTAGAAATGAGTTAAAATTAAAATAACCTCTCAATGTTATTGAGGAAAATGTCCACATTAAACACATATATCTCCCGAAAGATCGAAGCCACAGCCCGCATGCAATGCCTTTCTGAAAATAAAATACCAAAACAAAAAGAATAAAATAAAAGAAGGGTGGTGAAGGTGAATTGGTGATCAATTAATTATAAGAGAATAAATGATAATACATGTACATTAATTGCAAGGATAACATGGTTGACATATTTAAAAACTAAAAGCCTCTTCCTCCTTATAATGAAAAGTTACAACATGAATACATTTATCTATACAATTATAATTACAGTTCGAAACATTGCTCGAGATAGTAGCAACTCATAAACTATATATGGATAGAAGAGATCAAACGTAAAATTGTCACGACCCAAAATCCAATCACAGGCGTTGTGATGACACATAGTCTTTAAGATTAGGTAAGCTGATTTCAATTACATTTTTAAGACTAAGTAATCAAAACTAACAGCGGAACAAATATGAATATACAACCTCCCAAGACTGGTAGTACAGAGTCACGAACTCTAACTAAATACATGGAATGATTACGAGTACCGAATATACAATACTGTTTGATTACAAATTAACAATACAATGAAATGAAAAGACTCCAAGGGACTGCGACGACCAAGCAGCTCTACCTTGAATCCTTACGATCCCGCTTTAACTCTTCTCAAGTCCGATATCTCCAATACCTGGCCCTGCACAAAAATATGCAGAAGTGTAATATGAGTATACCATGGTCGGTACCCAGTAAGTATCAAGACTAACCTCAGTGGAGTAGAGACGAGATACAGTCAAGACACTCACTAGTCTAATAACATGTGCAATATAATATACAAAATAATAGGAAACAAATAACAATAAGTGTAACATAAAACAACCAGTGATATGCACAACAGACAACAAGAATACCATTAATTTCGCTCAACAATTAATTAATACAATTACACCCAATTAAATCAAGTCCTTCAAATAAATGTCTTTCACATATAATTCTTTCAAATAACTCTCTTTCAAATATAATTTTCTCAAATAATTACCTTTCAAATATAATTTTTTCATATAATACTTTCTAAATAAAAATCCTTCCAAATAAATATTTTGAATATAATTCTTTCAATTAAGAAGTCACCATGTGACACCTCGTTTCATAATCATAAAAATACGGGTCTCAGCCCATTTCTATATTTTTCGTAAACACGAGTCTGAGCCCATTTTTTATATTTTCACGGCACCTCGTGCCCATAATTAAATCGTCATATTTCCCCGGCACCTTGTGCCCTCATTTCATATCACAACTGTACGGACAATTCACGTGCCAAATATCATTATCATTAATTCACAACACCTCGTGTCCACATTTCATATCACAATTACACGGGCAATTCACATGCCAATATTCTCATTATTTACTCAACAACAAGACAAATTGCACAAGGTATAAAAATAAATACAAGAAAATCACAACATCACATGAAAATCACCAACACCACAACTCCACATCATCACATATCGTCCCTAACAATAGCCACCCTTATCTCTCCTATAGCCACCATTATCCCTCCGCCCTGACAATATCAATAGACACCCTTATCGCTCCTATAGCCACCCTTATCGATCCTATAGCCGCTTTTATCACTTCGCCCAGACAATATTCCAACAAATACAACAACAGTGAAATGCCACCCTTATACCTACATAATATCAACGGTAAAACGCCACCCTTATCTCCTCAAAATAATAACTCATACAACATAATAATTTACACGAAAAATTATCACGGCAACATAACAAAGTCAATTCATATCACAATTTGCCCAATGGCCTCAACCAAAATTCCAAAGACACAACCAAATCAATTAATTTCATAACAAATAGCCGAAGGCTCCACACAATGTGTATAACACCCCAAAAATAATCAACAGAGATATAATTACTCAACATAAAGCAAAACCTTCATTAATCCAAATTTAGATAATTATATTAACCCTTCTTTTTAAACTTGCTTAATTAATTATTTGCATAGGGAAAATTCATATTGAAATTAATTTCCAAGAAATATTAAACCAACAATACTCACGAAATTTCATAAATATTTCAAGTAACAATCACATCAAATTGTCATATAACAACAGATTCAACAACAAGGATTTAGGCACGATAAATAGATGATTAAATATATACCAATAATTATTCAATTTACTACACAATATGCCTAAGAGTTTAACTCAATGAATTTTACATATATAAGCCCGAGTACGTACTCGTCACCTCACGTACAAGGCTTTTCACATTTCACAAATGGCACATAAGACTCGATGCCTAAGGGGTAATTCCCCCACTTGAGGTTAAGCAAGACACTTACCTTTTTGAAGTTATGCCGATATTTCAAAATCGCCTTCTTGCTTGAATTGACCTCCGGACAGCTCAAATCTATCCAAATTAATTGCATAACTTTATTAAAATTCAGCGAAAATAATTCCGGATAATAATACATCGACTTAAAAATTTATTCCAAAAAGTCAACAAAAGTCAACACGGGGCCCGCCTCTCGGAACCCGACATAATATTTATGAAATCCGAACACTCATTCCGATACGAGTTCAACGATACCAATTTTATCAAATTCCAATAACAAATTGTCCTCCAAATCTTGAGTTTTCGTTTTTGGAAGATTTTGCAAAAATCTTGATTTCTTCCATTTAAATCCGAATTAAACAATGAATATAACTATAAATTTATGAATTATAATCACTTTCGGGTATAGAATACTTACCTAGATGATTTGCTTGAAAAACCTACGAAGAATCGCTCAAAACCGAGCTCTACAACTCTAAAAAAAATAAAAATGGGTAACCCTCGAAATAGAATACTTTTATATTCTGCCCAGGTATTTATACATCGCGATCGCGAAAAAGAAAATGGCTACTGCCTCAAAATGTACTACGCGATCGCGAAATGATGCATGCGATCGCGTAGAAGAAATGGCATTGCCCACAAAAGGGCTCTACGCGAACGCGGAAGGAGGGAGTGCGAACGCG